CTCGCCCGACGACGGCGGCCACACCGACCGCTTTGCCTTCCAGCTGCCCTTTGCTGAGGGCGCGGGCGATGGGGCGCGCCTCGACTTCGTGGTGCGCTATGAGACCCCCGAGGGCACTTTCTGGGCCAACAACCACGGCCGCAACTACACAGTTCTGCTCCGGATCGCACCCGCTCCCACACCCACTGATGCCGAAGGGCTGCCCCAGCAGCAGCAGCTGCAGCAGCTGGAGCCACAGCCTGAGTGCCAGGGTCCTGTGGAGGCTGAGGCCAGGCAGCTGAAGAGCTGCATGAAGCCGGTGAGGCGCAGGTAATGTCTGCCAGCGCCACCTCCGCCAACGCAGGGCTGTATGTAGAGTGGAGGGCAAGCATCTTGGCCCAGGAATCCCTCAGGCCTGCTCTCCAGGACTGGGAGGAGGGTGCATTCAGTCGGCCAAAGAGTAGTGGAGGCCAAATATGTGCTTGTCACTGTTTAAATGACTGGGGTTTCATTCATTCATTTATTGAGTGCCACTGTAAAGCCCTGAACAAGACAGACATCGTTCCTGCCCTCAAGGATCATATAAGGCTCCCATAGGAGACAGTTTGAAAAAGCAAGCAAGTAAACAGAAATAGGAATAAGGTTAGCAGCTGAGATAAGAGGAAAACAAAGGTGATGGATTGGGAGGGAATGGCTGCTTAGGACATGGTGTTTAGAGAGAGCTTTTGAAGTGAGCCCTGGATGATGATTAGAGTTATGGTGGAGAGAGTTGGTAGGTAAAGGAACAGGAAAGACATGACAAAGTACTATTTAAACTTAGTCAGGAAAGATAGGGAAATGGAAGGCTGGTGTTTTAGATAAGGGAACAGCAAGTGCAAAGGTCCTGAGGCAGGAAATAAGCTTGGTGTGTATGATGGGCCATATGCTGGAGTAGGGAGAACTATAATGACATGGTAGTGTGGACAAAAGGCCTTGCCAGTGAATGATAGAGAATATGATCCCCATGTAACAGCAGGAAATCAAGTTTCCAGAATGGAGAAACTGGTTGAGGAAGTGATGGTGCCTGGCCTTTGCACTTAATCCATGTCTGACCTTGAAGCCTATACACATTTTACTGTATGCTAATGGAGAATGAGGCCTCCTGCAGAGGCGAGGGTGTGAGGTCATACTTTCAGGGAAAGCAGTGGCTTTGGCAGAGGCAGAACCATTTGGGGAGTGGAATTGAAGCTCATGCTTCTTGCTTTGTGTCACACCTCGTTGAACTATTTAGAGGCTGGGAGAAAGAGCCAGTTATATTGTGGGAGGCTGGATACGAAATTTTCCTAACTTTCCTCTATTAAGGTATGAGTTTTTCAAGGGCAGTAGCTAAGCTTGATTTTATTGTGCAGTCGTCGCAGTCTAGCTTGGGATCAGTGGAATCCCTCCAAAGTGCATACACTTTTCTGTTCTCGGGAGGACTGGAAGTGGAAATGAGAAAGTGGTTTTTTTTTTTTTTTTACACCTTGTGTGTGATGGATCAGGAGCTGCTGGCTACAGCGAGGTTTTTGTGGGTTCTCCTGGTCCCGGTAAAGCCTTAGGCAGTGAGTGGTTCAGGAAGACCTTGCTTTCAGCTGGTGGGCCGATGTGCCCGAGTGAGCAAGCATATAAGCACTTAGCAACTTGTGAGTCCCACCATGGCCTGAGACAGTTCAAAGGGGCTACCTTGTGTGTGATGGATCAGGAGCTGCTGGCTACAGCGAGGTTTTTGTGGGTTCTCCTGGTCCCGGTAAAGCCTTAGGCAGTGAGTGGTTCAGGAAGACCTTGCTTTCAGCTGGTGGGCCGATGTGCCCGAGTGAGCAAGCATATAAGCACTTAGCAACTTGTGAGTCCCACCATGGCCTGAGACAGTTCAAAGGGGCTGGCAGCATGGTTTTGCTTCCAGCATAAAAAGTGTTTATTCTCGCATCAATTGTGTTCAAATCCCAGCCCTGCCACTTAATTGACTTTGTGAGCTTGGCGAACTCATTTAACCACGCTGTGCCTCAGGTGACCCTACCCTCATGTGTAAAAGAGATAATTACGGCACCTGCCTCACCGGATATGAGTAAAAGCACTCAGAACTGAGCCTAGTTCAAAGTAGGTGTTCAAAGTAGAGGTGTTAGCTAGTATTGATATTTAGGTACTCATGTACAGTTCTGCAGATTCCTAAATTCAGCTCTGCCCATCAGCTGTGGGGCCTTGCCTCAGTTTCCTCATCTGCTAAAGGGGATGACGGTCATGTGTGGCTGAATTGGATGCAGCAGACATGGGCAAGGCATGGGGGTAGCTGCAGAAGATAACAGTGGTCAGCATTTACTGAGCTCGCCAAGAGCATTGGGTCTGCTCTGCCTTTGAGCCCAGCTGCCTGTGCTGTGTGCTGTAGGCACTAAGATTCTCCCCAGTTAGAGAGGGGGAAATGGAGCTCGGAGAGGTGAGCCAGCTTCCTCAGTCACTCAGCTTGTAAATGCAGGGCCAGGGGAGAAATATTAGAAAATATTAGAAATACTAATCCTCTTGAAGGCCAGGGAGGTCCAGGGCAAGTTCTGAACTTCACTCTAAGTGTTCTCAGTGTGGCATGCTTTTCCTTTTATGTGTGCTTTGTTTTATTGCATACAGTGTGTACTCAAGTGTACAGCTCAGTGGATTTATACATAAATATACACTTGTGTAACTACCACCCAGATCAAGAGATTGAGCAGTTGTAGTACTCCACAATCCCCTTACTTTCTGTCACTTTTCCCAAATTATCATCCTAGCTGGCTGTCTTGGGAGCTGTGTTTGCAAGATGTGACAGATTGGGCGATGGAGTTTGGTCATTTTCAAGAATGTGAAAGGAAGGGAACAGAAATCAAGCGTTGCTGGGCCAAGGGGGAAAGGGTGTTTTTCTTTTAAAAATACATGGGTGGTTTTAAGGAGAAATTGAAGCGGCCCATTTAGACAATTGTTTTGGTAACTGGCCCCAGGTCTGTGGTTCCTAACATGACTTGTGATATTATTTTAAGTGGGCAGATGACTTTTTGATAGCTTCTTATCGTTTGATCTCAGCTCTTGCAAAGGGGAGGCTGGTGCTCATTGCAAGATCAACGATAAGATTTTCTTTGTAGGTTTGGTGGCTTTCTTGGTGAGTACATTTCGACTTATTATTGTTTTAAAACCTGTGTGCTGCAGGTGACTTGGAGCGCTGTTGAAGAACAGCCACCCCCCTGCCGCCAGCCCGGATCCAGCCCTCTGGGGAAATGGTGAAGGATCTCAGGGGACATTCTTTTCCTGTGGGAGTCTCAGTGTAGGAGACTTCAGGAAATGTTGGCTGCAGGTCCACTGTACCCTGCGGACGGCCACATCAGGCGAGGGCATGGAAGGAAGGAGTCTGTGCTGGCCATGGAGCTGTAGTTGAGAAACCTGACTGGCTGTTTTTCTTGCATTGCAGAGCCAGGCTTTCAGTACCCCCTTAGGCTTAGAGGTTATCCATCAACAAGCATTTATTGAGGACTTAACTATGTGCTCCGTACTGTGCTAGGTTCACGAATGGAAAAAGATGCAGATTGGTCCTAAGGTATCCAAAGGCTTGTGATGGAGCTGGGTGGGCTTGTGTGAAACTTGGCTGAGCCCCTGCTCTTTGCTAGGCACTTTGCTGAGTGTTTTGGTGCTGTGAGAAGTTTCATTTACTCCTGACAGCAGTACATGTGAGCTAGACCATTTTAAATCTCTCTTTTCCGAATGTGCAAACTGAGGCTCACAGAGTCCAGAGTTCCCAGACTGGTGTGAGGGGAAGACCTCCTGGTCTGCATTGGCTTAACACTGTGAGAAGGTGGTATTATTATTATTATTATTATTATTATTATTATTTTATTTTATTTTGAGACAGCATCTTGCTATGTAGTTCAGGCTGGCCTTGAACTTGTGGTGATCCTCCTGCATCAGTCACCCCAGTGCCGGAATTAACGGCTGCAGGTGTCCTATTATTCTTAAAAATAAAGACCAGTAGGCCCTGATCATGGCGTTCAAACATACCCCTTTTCCATCCCCCAATCTGGTCTCCTCTGGCTGTTAGGCTTATTTCATGAACCAGTCTCTGTTCCTGAGCTCCTGTCACCATGGTCTTTCTGTTATTGCAAAGGGCCTTGCTCCATCCTGCCTCAGGCCTTTGCTTGTGGCTTTTTCCTTCACTGAGAATGTTTGGTACCCTTTGCAGTCAGTTCTAAGAGGGCTTCCTTGGGGAAACCTGTCCACTGCAACCTCCTTGGGCTCTCAGGCAAGCCCTGTTGGAGGATGCCACATAGCACAATAGATGAGCCTTGCCAAAAATTCAGAATCATTAGCTACCTGTTCCGGCAGTCCTACTCTATTTTTCTGACCCATACTTGTCTCCTTTCTCGTGTGACTCTTTCAAATGTTCTTTACCTTCAGACTTTACCTCTTGCTTCCAAAAACAAAATAAAAACCATAAGAATAGAACTCCCTGCTGCTTGCAGCCCCCAAACCTGCACACTAATCCCCCTCTGCTCTGTTACTGGTGAGGAGGGTTTCTTCACTGTTGGGCGGGTTCCCCACCCTATGCTCCAGGGTCCTATTTTCTGCCACTCGCTCTGAAATCTGACCTTAGCAGTCCTTTCTTGTCTTGACAAATTTTCTCCTGTCCTCACCTGATCCTATCTGGTGACCTTTCCCCAGGCCAGGATCTGTCTGCTTGACTGCCTCTGCCTGGCACTCCTAGCCAGCACCCATCACCCCCAGAACTTACTGGAGTGTTGCCTGCAGCTTCTCTTACTTACTTCACCCCCAGGTACTCATCAGCTCCAACACTGGCCAAATTTCACAAGAGATTCTACAGTTGTCTTCAAGTATCTGGCTGCTCCTTCTTAGGATAGTTCCTTCCCTGGCCTGGAGACCATACTCTACTCTCTGGCCCTTCTCCTTGTTCTTTCTTTCAGCCTCAGGTATCCAAACCTGTTGTTTCTATTTGACTGAATTCCTCAGACTCACCTCAGCTACAGCTGCATTCGTCACGTCCTGCACAGTGCTCCAGAGCGTCCTCTTACACTCCTGCCCCTTCCTTGCTTGCTCTCTAAGCATCCTTAAGCCCTTGCTACTTCTGTGCTTTGGGCCAAGGCACCTTGTTCTAGGGCACTCTACTTTTCTGAAGGTACTGACCTCAGTTTGTAGTCAGACCTTCATTAGGGGATTACTGGATGACTAGACTGTAAGCTCCGAGAGGGGTAGGGACATGGTCTGCGGTTGGTCACCACTGTATTCTTACAGGCCGGCCATGGAGCCTGGCACTTAGCAAGTGCTTAATAAATGTTTGTTAAAAGAATGAGTATGAGTATTTTTTAATGTCTTCTTCGACACTGAATTGTGAGCTTCCTAGGTGGGTTTATTCACCAGTGTGTCTCCAGGGTCTGTCACTGGGTCCGAGGCACAGTAAGGCCTCAGTGGGTATTATTAGGTGCACCTATAACTGAATGGATAGGAGCCAACTTGATATTCAAATTGGCAGCCTTAGGGGAAATGAGAGCCATTGGAGTTGAAACAGGATGGGCCAGTGGTCATCTGAATTGTCTAGAGAGGGAGGATTTAATGTGAAAAAGTTCCCTTTTTATTTCATGGAAAGCTGGTAGGGTGTCATTGTTAGGGACACTGAGTGGATGCACTCAGTGGCAGTGCTGGGGTCAGAGCCTGTGGAGTCCTGCTCTAGTGCCCTAGTTCTTAACTGCTATACCAGGCTGGGTAGTGTCCTACCAGCTGGGCACCACTGGGCAGATTGCTTTCCTTTTCAGAACCTCAGTTTCCTTCAATGGGAATTTGGAGGGAATTATTATTCAGCACTTTGTAGGTGCTTTTCAGATTTTCCTCAGTCCACTCAATAATTTGCCAAGGTAGGTGTTACTATTATTCCCTGTTTATAGACAAGAAAACTGTGGCACAGAGCGGTTAAGTAACTTGCCTCAGGTTGCACTGCTGGTAGGTGGCAGAGCTGGTATTCAAAGTTGCATGTCTTGACTGTTTTATTGAGATGTAAAATTAACTTACTGAGTTTGAACAAACTTAAAAAATGGCATAGAAGCTGGGTGTGATAATGCACACCTGTAATCCTAGCAATCAGGAGGCTGAGGCAAGATTACTGTGAGTTCAGGGTCAGCCTGAACTACACAGTGAGATCCAGTCTACAAAAAAACAAAAAAAGTACACCACAAAATGTAGTAAAGGTAAGTATTGTTTCATTTGAAGAACCAATTTTCAGTTTTATATATGCATATACATTTACACTTGTGTGGATAATGATGTAAAATTGTTTTCCTAATGTGGACGGTGGGCAGAGAATCAATCACTGCTATGAAAAATGCTCAGGGCGTGATGAACTGCTCTCTCCTTATCCCCTGCTGGCTTGTCCACAAGTCCCAAAGTTGAGGCTGACACTGGCTGGGGAAGGCAAGGCAGTGGCCTATATAACTTGGTAGCTTTCACAGCTACCTTTAAACCCCATTCTTTTAAGAAAGCACATGGCCCAGGGTAACAGGTTCCAGGTATTGGTAAGGCAGCTTTCTGAAGCTGTTGGTTCCCTCGGAGAGTAGCAGCATCATCAGGTTGTCTCCATGAGAGCTGGGCTCTGCTGAGTTTCCCTTTGGGTTTTGGTGCCTGACCCACTTGTGGCTGGCAAAATTCTTTGAAGTCAGGCACGCTAAGGGCACTCAGGACTTGTAGTGACGGCAGTGATGTGACGGCTTTGAGAGCCTGTTTGGCTTTTCTCCAAGGGGGTTCATCTGTGCTTGCTTGCTCGCTCACCAACTGGCAACTAATCTTTCTGTTCTGTCTTGGCTTGCCTAGGTGGGGGCCAATGCCACCTCTTTCTACAGTGTCATCCCTTGGTCTCTTGCGGTCCTGTTTTAAGGTCAGCAGCCATTAAGTTTCCTGATAGCAGGAGGAATTTTCATGCCCAGGAGACTGGTGTACAGGTTTGACATGGCCCCTTTGAGGTGACACGGGCTTGACTAGTGTTTGTAAAACACCCACCTGATGTGTGCCCAAGACATCTGCAGCAATGTGTCTCCTGGGCCTCTACTGCCCGATGCACCTGAGAGGATGCCACATGTCATTTGTGGGACTGGTGCCAAAAGGGTAGGTTTCCTTCTTGAAAACTAGCAGGCACACTGTAAGTACGGTTTTGTTCTGAATCTTCCTCCTCATTTTTCTGAGAACCCCTCTTCTCTGTTACTGATCAGTGAGTCAGTATACACTTGTACTCAATTTTTGTTACTGTCCTCATTTTGATTGCAATTGTATCTTATATAAAATTTTTGCTCTCAAAGGCTACTATTTGTTTTTTTTTTAAAGACTATCTTCAAAGTGGTACCTTCTTTGTATGTTATCAGTGTGGTGTGTAGTCAGTGGGTATAGAGACAATGTTCCTTAAGCCTTAGTTTCTGCATTTGTAAAAAGGGAAGGTTCTCTATTGAAGAATAGATGTGAAGGCTTTCAAATGACTTGACATAATCAATGGAAAGGGCCCACGTAGGAGGAGGTGCATGGTAAATGCCTGTTTCCTGTTTTCATTTCTCTGACTTTCGAGGTTGGGAGAACAGATTGTTTGCTTCTGCTGACTTTGTGGATCTTGGAATGAACTCAGTTGCTTGATTTTTGGATGTCACTGTCTTCTCACCTCCTCGGCTGTGGAAAGAAGCCTTGGTGGCTGAAGGATTTCTTTTGCATTTGTTTTTCTCTCCATTAGCTGAATCGTGGAGTCCTTTTCCTGCTGGGTGGGTGCTCCTTGAGCTCTCTTTTTTCAATGTCGTATCTAAGAATTTGTAGTGGCTCTGGTATCACCTTGCTCTTGTGAGGCAGGCAGTGGAACCACTGAGCTAAATCCCTGGCCCTGTAGTGGCTTTTTGAAACCTGGTTGTCATGCATGTCAGGATTGGGCCAGATGGGAGGGAGGCTTGTCTAGCCCTGCACCTGGGAGGGAGAGGTGGCTCTCTGTCTATTGTTTTTTGTTTTTTTTTTTTTGTTTTTTTTTGGTACCAGGGATTGAACTCAGCATCTTGCGCTTGCCAGGCAGCCACTGTGCCACTGAACTAAATCCCCAGCCCTGTTTGGGGGTATTCTTGAAGAGGCTTGCTTTAGAAGATTCCAGGAAGATGATTTTTTAAAAAACAGAGAACTCAGTGACACCTGGAAGAAATCCCATTGAGCCACAAATTCAAAGGCTTGAATTTTAGTCCTACTGAGGGGGCTGCTGCAGGACCAGGGCAGTTTGCTCTGAATCCTCCTTTCTCATCTGTGGTGTGTAGGAGGCACCCACTTCAGGTTCTGTAGTATTCTGGTTTAAATACCTCTCTGGTCGCATGTATGAGTCCTAGACCACAGAGAAAGACAGACTGTCCCTTCCAAAGCTCCATATAGTGTACATGGTTCACACTTCCTCCTTGATGGTGCTGATAAAAAGTTCTTGCAGCCACTCTGTCTCTGGTGGTCTCCTAGCCACAAGTCCCTTGGAGCCAGGGAAACTAGGACTGAATATGGGAGGGGGTGGGAAAGAAATCCAGAGAGAAACCTGTATTACCCACTTCTAGAAAGAGTTAGAGATGGGGTTGGGTAAGACCCCAGTCCCCCTTATCCAAGAAGCAGCAGCTTTTTGGTTAAAAACGAGAAGGCCTGGGGTTTGATTCTGTTTGTGTGACCTTGAGCTGTTCACCCAGCTTCCATTACATCACTGTTAAGGTAGAAATAATTGTACTACCTATTTGAAAGGATTAGAAATACCTATCTCATAGGGTGCAGTGAGGAGTAATATATGTGAAGTGTGTAGACCAGTGCCTAATGCCATAGTACTGTGTGCAGGTCAGCTAGTGATCTGTTTCTGTGAAGGCAATTGATTAGATATTTCCATAAAGTTTGAGCTATTTCCACAAATGTCAGTATTAATCCATTGCCTCATTGGAAAAAAAAAGATAATGAGCAATTTCCTCGGCTCCCTTCAGGTCTCTGAACATATAATCGACACTTATCGGCAGACATTTGATGCTCATGTGAGAATAGGATCAGTGCCTTCTTCATACAGAGACCTTACTCTGGCAAGATCTGAAATATACTTGGCTTATGTGACTCAGGGATCTGACTTGGTTGACCAATAAATACAGTATCACCTGTGATTTAATCCCTGCTCTATACCCGGTGCTGGTGTCTGCCTTTCCTTCCTCATTCCTCTTGATTACCTTGTACGTGTTGTGTACATCCGGGCTCCCCTGTACCCATTACAGGTAAGAAGGTGATGTAACCTGGCAGGCTGATCCCTTTCCATCCCCCTTTCTTCCTTGCCTCTGTGGTTCCCTGTGTCCTATAGCCTCCTTGTTTGCCCTTGGATAAGATGATTTCCTTCTCAACCAGGGACATACCCCCAAACTTGTTGATAAAACTGTGCCTGGTGCTGTTTGCTGAAGTTTGCTTTAAGTAACCTAGCTACTCAGTTGGAAGGGGATAGCTATACAAGTTATGGCAAACCCATACGATATGAGTGTTAAGCAGCTGTTTTCAATGTTTGCAAAAATCTATAATGTTTCTTACTGTTAAATGGACAAAACCAGCTGTGAAAATATGTCTACAGAATCTAAATGGTTTTGGAGAATGTCTGGAATGAAAATTGCCAAAATGGTGATAGTAGATGTCTTTGACTAATGTGATTGATTGTTTCCTGCATCTTCATACTTTCCTGTATTATGTAAAATTTCTACGATGATTGTATAGGACTTTTATGATCAAGGAATAAAAGGAGGCAGTAGAAGAGAAAACAACAGCTTTCAGTCAAAGATGGGCCACCACAGAGGTTCAGATCCATGTACTCTCTCTTCTGCCCCACAGGCCTCACGAGGAGGAGCTGAGGATGAAGAACATGGATGATAATACCCCTGTTGTGGGTAAGCACCTGGAAAGCTGGGAGTTCTAGCCCCATTTTAATGTCTCAGTTTTTTGTTTGTTTAGTGGTGCTAGGGATGGAACCTAGGGCCTTGCATGGACTAGGAAAGTGCTCAACCACTGAACTATATCCCCAGCTCTTCTAGCTTCTTGTTACCATTTCTTTCTTTCTCTTTTTCTTTCTATAAAAACAGAGCCCACTCAGCCACCCTTAGACCGTCTCAGAAACCTATAGAGAAAAACTGCCAATTGGCTAGACTAGCAGATTTTCTTAAAATCTCATGACTGTCTTGCCCCAAACTGCCTTTCTCTTTTCTTCAGCAGAGCGTCCTGAGGTCCAGGAGTCATTGGGTTCCCTGGTGGCCCCCACCCCTCTCCGTCCATGGCCCCAGATGACACTTCAGGTAAGTGGGCCCTGCACCTAAGGGTGGGCACAGTGTTTGGTGATACAGCCAACTAACTCTGGGTCCCCCTAGGTTGGAAGAAGGTCACAAAAACTGGAAGCTAACAGGCGAGTAGGAGAATACAGTGATTCATCTGGACTTAGAGGAATTTCAGTTAATTTAACAAACATTTAAGGAGCACTTGCTCTATGTTGTAGACACTGGAAACATAGTCAACAAAAATGCTGTCTGTCTGAGGCTTACATGTTAGTGAGATGAGATATGATGAAATAGTAATTAAAATATATGGTATTTTAGATGAGGACAGTGCTTGTTAAGGAAAAAGACCAAAGAGATGGGAGGGGAGAGAGTGAGTGAGAGAGCGAGAAGGAAAGAAAATGTTTGCAGCTTTAGATTGGCCTAGGAAGGGCTTAGTGAGTGAGATTTGAGAGATGTGAAGGTTAAGAGAGTGAACCACGCGGATAACTAGAAGTGTCCTGGGCACGTGCAGAGTGCCTGGAGTGGGGCATAACGTGTGAGGAGCACTGAGCCTGGGGTGCCAGAGACAGTGAGTGAGGGGCAGAGTGGTGGGGGATGAGGCCAGTGAGGTGATGGGACAGATTAGATGGGGCCTCGTGGGTCACAGTGTGGACTTTGGCTTTTACTCTGAGGGAGGAGCCACAGGAGGGTGGTGAGCAGCTAGGGTTTAACAGGCTTTCAGTCTGCTGCAGGGAAAATAAGACTGCTGGTGGATGGAAGCAGGGGCCCCAAGGAGGAGGAGACCACTTTGGTGGTCCAGGTGAGCCACAGTGGTGATAGCAGGGGAGGAAGAGGCACCCCAAAGGGGGGTACGTGTGTGTGTATGTATGTATGTGTATGTGTGTATGTGTTTTAACTTTTCAGTACAAAAATATTCAAATGTAGAGTATGAACCCACACCATCACCTACTTTCACCAAATATCAATATATCAGTATGTGTCCATTCCTATTTTACGTATGCCCTCATCTTCTCTCCTTTTATTTCTATGGAATTATTTTAGAAAAAGGTCCAGACCCCATCTCATTCACAAATAGTGCAGTTTGTATCTCAGAAAATTAAGAATTATTAAAAAAACCCCAAACAACAGGAACACAACAAAACTCAATGATAATAGCATTATCACACTTCAGAAAATTAACACTATCTTTCATACTTCATATCATCAAATATTTGGTGGTCAGGGTTCTACCTTCCTTATCTCTAAGTGTTCCAGGATTCCCAAGGCAAACGTATTTTTTTCGAGACAGGGTCTCACTACGTAGTTGGGACTGACCTGGAACTCACTATTTAGCCCAGGCTGTTCTTGAACTTGCAGTGATCTTCCTGCCTCAGCCTCCCGAGTGCTGGGACTACAGGTGGGCACTACCACACCCAGCTCAACATGTTGCATTTGGTGGATGTGTTTCTTCAGATTTTGTTATCTCCCCCATTTTCTTTCCTTGCAATGTGTTTGTTAAAAAACTCCCATTTTTCCTGCACCATTTTCCACACTGTGAATTTGGCTAATGCTGTCCAGGTGGAAACATGTTTCTTATTCTATTTTTATTAATTCATTTTATTTAATCAATTTAGCCTTTTATAATTAAATTTAATTAACTTAGTAAACTATTGATTTTGTTACTTTCTTAAATATATTATAATTAAATTGATATAAATAGAATTAAATCCTTTTAATTCTATTATCCCCACTTCTTTTAACTAGCTGGAGAGAAAACCTCTCTCACATCAACTGTTTGGCTACATTGGGGTCTAATTTATACAGGGCACTGGGCATGGTGGTGCATGTCTGTAATCCCAGCACTTGGGAGACTGAGGGAGGAGGATTGTTGCAAGTTTGAGACCAGCCTGGACTACATAGCAAGACCCTGTCTCAAAAAACCAAACCAAAACAAAATTTATACAGGAAAAGCTGTATGAATACTTAATTTTCTCCCTTACATTTACTAGTATTCAGAAACAAATGAACTTCTCCAAAGGTGATCAATTAAAGGATTTTTGGTTTTGGTGTGTCATTATGAATTCATTGATTCTAAACATTTTGTAACTTTCAATTCATCGCATTTATTAATTTTTTTAAAAGATGAAAACCCTTCCTCACATCCTGCTGTGATAGTATATCCCTGGCTCATCCTGCACTTTGCCCACCCAAAACCTGGCAAGAGGTATCTGTTTCTCTAAGGAACCCTGGTTCCTTTTAGTGGAGAATAGTATGTAAAGACCCAGATCTGAGGGCTTGGTGTGTTATTGCTACTAGATTGGTTACTGTAGACCTTTTCCAGAGATAGAGCTAGGAAGTAAATATTTTAACAGGAAAAATACATCATGAATTCATATGGGTATTCGGGCCATGTTTGAAGGTAAACCAACTGTTATGTCCTGATAATTATCCACCAAAGATTGACGCCCACTGAATGCCTTAGATTCATCACCTGTGGGGACTCCCCTTTTATGGCATCTAATATTGTTATTTTAGTATAGGTGGTAGAGTCTTTGGAGTTCAGAGAACTACTAAGCGCTCTTTAAGGCATTTTATTTGGAAATCCCTGTGGGGCTGGCTCTTAGCAGTTGTTACCATCTCTGCTTGTCCCATCCCTTCTCTGCTTTACTCATTTTCCTTTCTCTCTCTACCTCTGTCACGGCTCCAGGTTTCTGAAGTTACAGTGATTGGCAGCTCTCCAGAAGAGGGTGACATCTCCAGGAGCTGTCCACCTGTGGCTTTTACTGAGGTCCCTCAGGCGCCAGCCATCAGGATTCCCCCTTCTAATCCTCTCTGTGGCCTGGGCGGCTCTCCCAGGGACCAGGCCTCAGGGCCCGATATAAGCGAGGGAGCCACCGGGCTCTTCCTGCAACCCAGCCAGCAACAGGTGGAGGCCACATGGGAAGTGGGGGCTGTTATGGATGAGTCCCCTGCGGGTCTGGGGATTGTGAGCGGGTTGGAGGAGCTGCTTGGCGAAGACACCATTGACCAAGAGCTGGAGCAGCTCTACCTGTCTCACCTGAGCCGCCTGCGGGCTGCTGTGGCTGCAGGCGGGGCAGGAGGAGGTGGGGAGGGCCCCACTGATGGGGGTACATCTCCCAGTCATCCCCCAGGCATCCTCACAGACCGTGACCTGATCCTGAAGTGGCCTGGCCCGGAGCGGGCTCTGAACAGTGCTCTGGCTGAGGAGATCACGCTGCACTATGCACGCCTAGGGCGTGGTGTGGAGCTCATCAAGGACACTGAGGACCCTGATGACGAGGGGGAGGGTGAAGAGGGGCTCTCCACCATTCCCTCTAGCCCTGAAGGAGACAGCCCCAAGGAATCTCCTCCGGAAATCCTCTCTGGGGCCCACTCTGCTGTAGCCAGTATGGGCGATGTGTGGCTTCCATGGGCAGATGGCTTGGGGTGTGACAGCCCTGTGGTTTTGGCTGCAGAGGGTCAGTTCACTGGGGTTTCAGAGAAAGGGATGGGCAAGGACACCAACTCTTTGCACATGAATAGGGTCATAGCTGGAGTGACCAGGTCCCCAGGAAAGGCTGGGACGGAAGTCCAGATGGAGGTCACCACTGAGAGGGCAAGCAGCTTGGTTGCTATGTCCAGCAAAGAGCCAGCTACTCCAGTCCTGCAGGAGCAGAATCCCGCCCTCCTTGGTATCTTGGGGGCTGAAGTCTGTCTTTCTAGTGTGGCCAGGCCTCATGTGGTCTCCCAGGACGAAGAGGGTGCAGGTCCAAGCATTGAGCCCCCAAAGAGGTCTCCCAGCCTAGCAGGCCCTGCGGAATGTGTGTGTGGCTTGCCTCCTCAGCTCCGGGGGCCCTTGACCCAGACTCTGGGAGTCCTGGCTGGGCTGGTTGTAGTCCCTGTGGCTCTGAACAGTGGTGTGTCCCTCCTGGTGCTTGTGCTGTGCCTCTCTCTGGCCTGGTTCTCGTAGGGCTGCTTGTGAGATCAGCATAACAGGTTTCTCCTCTCTGGGATCTGGGGAAGGGCAGTCCCTCCACCACCCCAGAGGGTTGAGATGGAATATGTGGCCTGTGTGGTGAGGGACCTTGGTCCTTTGCTTCTGAGAATGCTGGACTGGAGAGAGGCCTTCCTGTCCCCTAGCTCTCCAGGCAGCATGGAGCTCTCTCTGCAGTGATACCCATGGAGAGGAATGGGACAGTGGATGGTATGAGTTAAGAAGAACTTTTAAGACGGAACCAGGCATGTCCCCCTTCCCCTGCCCCCTGAGCCTGTATTTATTTTTGTATAATTCTCTGGATGAGGAAGAGTGGTCGTGAGCTGGTCTTGGGGCACAATTACCCAGAGATATATTTATTAACAGCCAATCTGTGCAACCTGCTGGAGCTTTATTTTTAATTTAATTTATATAGAGTACCTATTATTATATGCCACAATAGAGCTCTATGAGAAATGACGTGTCTTGCTGTGTAGTGGTCTCCTGTTTGGGCTTGAGCGTGCAGGGTGGTCACATTCTTGGGGAGGACCGTGATGGGTAGTGTGGGGAGGACGTGGCCATACCTGCTGCTGCTGCTTCAATATGTCCTAGAGGATCTGTGTCTCCTTATCTCATGGTCCTAATACATGTCCTGTGATCTTTGCACATTCTGCCTGTGAGAGCCTGCCTGTGTATATAGGAGTGGTGGTAGAGCCAGGGAGGAAGATTGGTAGCCACGTGAGGATTTGGTGTCAGTCATGTGGCTGCAGTGGTAGCTGTAGTTAGCTGTGAATATGGGAACATTGGTTTTGAATCAGCCACAAGGTTTTGAGGTTAATGAAAAAAAAAATCCTTTGACACCAGCAGGGAGACTCCTCAAACCCTAGGATAGGAAAGGTCTCAGAAAAGATGGAGGAAATAATGTACTGTGAAAAATTCACATCAGAGTTGCTGTCCACAGACATTGCATAGCTACTCAAAAGAGGAAACCCAGAAGCTTTGAAAGAAAGGATAGATGTATTTATTGCATGTAAATAAAAAACTGCATAGCAAAATAAAACACCATATATTTATTTACTGACCTTTACAGCAAAAGTTCTTAAAACAACCAGCCACTTTCTTCAGTTCTTCACTCCTCCACTGCCCCAATTCCTTTCTGAAATAGCACCAGGGTGTTTTTTTTGGCCAACCACTTCAGAGAAAGTGCTGAAGCCACCGATAATGTTCACACCGTTACAGCAGCAGTGATGTCTCAGTCTCATCTTCCACAGTTTCTTGGCAGCATTTGACACAGTTGATGATCCTTAACTTATAGCCCTTTCTTCACTTGGTTTGTGGGCTGCCACATTCTTCAAGCTTTCTTCTTTACAGGGCCGGGGATTTAGCTCAGTGGTTCTGCTTCCTGCCTTGCAAATGCAAGGTCCCGAGTTTGATCTCTGGTACCAAAAAAACCAAACCAAACCAAACCAAACCAAAACAAAAACCCCCAAACCAAAACTGCTTTCCTTCCACATGTCCCCTTTTCTAGAACAGACCCAGCACACACTGTAGATGCTCCATACGTCCCTGTGGAATGAAGTACATTAAGGGGCAAACAACAGTGTGTGAAGAATCGGAGAAACAAGCCTAGAGAGTGTAGCTGGTCACTCAGTGGTTACAAGCACAGTTCAGCTCCACAAGTATTGACTGGCTGTGTCTGCTTTGCTCTGTGGACACAGAGGAAGGAACTTGCAGTCCAGTATAGGAGAAAGAAGGAATCGGTACAGTGTGGCCAGCACATTAACGGTGATAGGTAGGTCCACTGGGCTGTGGAAGACCAGGACAGATGCTCAGCTCAGTTCAGAGACTTTGGAAATCTTGGAATAAAACGCTTGCTTGAGTTTTCAAAAACAAGGACTCCGGTGAAGGGGAGGAGAGGCAGTACAGTCAAGGAACAGCAGTGCAGACTGGGAGCCAAAAACAGCTAGTGAGCAATTCAACACACCTGTATCTTAATTTGTTTTTCAAGGAGGTTATTTAATTTTGTCAAATATCAACACCCAGGCATATGTTTATGGCCTTCCAATGATGTGATAATTTGATGCTCGTCTAGGCAAGTTGTTGCCAATTTGTGACAGAAATTAGATAAAATGGATGTTACTACAGGCATAAAACTTGCCAAAGTGTATCAAAAAGGAATTGAAAATTTAAGTAGTTTTATGTCCACTTGAAGAAACAGTACAGGTAGCCAAAATCTTCCCCCACAAACTCTGGGGCCATGTGGCTTTGTTGTTGAAATATCCAAGGCACAAATACCAATTTTACAAAAGCAATTGCAGGGTATAGAAAAAAAGGGAGCATGCCCAATTCATTTTAGGGGTTAAGTATAACCAAGATGTTAAAACCTGATAAGTCAACAAAGAATATTAATAAAACAATTTCAAGAATGCAGATGCAAATAATTTGAAACCGAATTATAGTGACCGAAGTCCAATATATTTTTCAAAGTTTAATACAACCATGTTGCATTATCTCAATATCAAATGTATTTTAATATTTGAACTCAACATAATTGGCATTATTAGCAGATTAAAGAAGAAAATTATAATCATCTTGACAGGGAGATAAAGAGGTAAATTTTGTCATCTGTGATTTAAAAAAGCAAAACAGTCAAATGACATTTCTTAGTTTTAAAGGGCATCTAAGAAGATTTACAGTAAACTACATACTTAAAGGTGAAACGTGTAGAGCCTTGACAGTGGGAACATGGCAAGGATGCCTGCTGTCATCGTTTCTGCTCAGCATTGTACTAGAAGTCCTAGCCAGCACAACAGGACAAGGGAAACAAGGAAAACACCTAAAGATTGGAAATAAGCAACAGAATTGTCCTTACTTGTAAGTGATGCCATTGTGTATGTAGAAAATTTAAAATAATGGGTAAATTATTAGAATTATTAAGAATTTAGAGTTGGGTGCTGTGGCATGTGTCTGTAGTCCCAGCTGCTTGGGAGACTGAAGTGGGACAATCTTTTGAGCCCAGGAATTTGAGGCCGCTGGGCCACATAGCAAGACAAAATTTAAGAAACGTTTCTGGGTACAAATTCATATTTAAAAAATCTGTTACTTAGGCTGGGAGTATGGCACAGTGGTACAGTACTTGCCTATCATGCCCTAAAGCCCCGAGTTCAATCCCCACCATGTCAAAATCACCCAAAAAACTGCTTGTATATGCCAACAACAAAGAGAATTTTAATAAATATACCATTTATGAATTACTTAGACACTAACAAAAGAGCAAGATTTTTGGGGAAAAATATAAAACCTGATTAAAAGATTTTATTTTTTTGGAAGTGCTAAGGATTGAACTCAGAGCTTCATAAATCTAGGCAGTGGCTGTACCACTGAGCTATATCCCTAGTTCAGAAACACTTTAAAAAAGGCCAACTAAAGGTCTGGAGTCCTGAGTTCTATCCCTGGTACCAAAACCAAACAAAACCCTCAAATAAGTAGGTTCACTTACACTTTGAAGGGAAGGGTCAAGGTCATAAAGCTATCAGTATCCTTTAAACTGTTTTTAGGTTCAGTGAAAAATCACAATTTCGATATATATATGTATAGATTTTGACAAATTTATGCGGAAATGCTAAGACTAGCCAGGACACCCAAACATTATAATAAAGTATGGCAGTCAAAATGGTGTGGTGTGGTGTTGCTACAAAAATAGGCCAGTGAGGGACTGGTAGTTTCAGAAACAGACCCACTCATATGTAGAAACAAAATAAATGACCAAAGGGGTATTGTAGATCAGTGGGGGAATGGTTGGAAATTGGTTATCCATTGTGGAAAAAAAGGAATTGGATCTCTCTCACAACATAAAAATAATCCTGGGTTTATTCAAAACCTAAATATGAAAGGTAAAGCCAAGGGGCTTTAGGAATATAACGTCATAGAATTAAAAAAAAATTTTTTTTGCTGTGTTGAGCCTCACACCAGTTAGGCCAATGTTCTACCACATTCCCAACTCCAGAAAACCTTTTTACATTCACAATAGAAAAGTTTTTCTTCACAAGGACATTGACTATAAGTGAAACTTTTAAACATAAAATGACATTAAGAATATCTTTCTAACTATTATCTAAAGATACCATAAGGAGAATGGAAACAACCTATTGGGAGAAGATAATGGAAGCACATATAACTGATGAAGAGCTCAAACCTAGAATTTTTTTTTTTGAGACAAGGTCTCTGTGTAGTTCAGGCTGGCCTTGAACTCCTGGCGATCTTCCTGCCTCAGCTTCCAGAGTTCTGGGATCATAGGTGTGCCACCACCATGCCAAGCTTCACATCTAGAATATGTTAACGACAGAGAAATCACACATGTATCAATAAATTGTGGTATATTTACAAAATGGAATATTCTACAACGAGAAGGAATGATCTGTAACTACGTGAAAAGGTCTGGGTGAATCGCATAGATGATGCTGAGCTATAGAGCCAAATAGATTTCACACTGCATCGCCCATTTACACAAAGTTCACAAACATGTAAAACTAATGTATTACCATGTAAGAGAGAACTTTAAAGAGATGTGGGGGATGATTATCACAAAGTCACGATAGTGCTTCCCTTTGGGAGAGGGAGTTGTGGCTGGGAAGAGCCCCAGGGGACTTCTAGCGTGTCCATAATGGCCTGCTGTCCAACCTGGATGGTTGTTTATAGAGGTACAACTTACTGATATTTATTAAAATATACATTTTTTTTGTTTTATACATTCCCAGGAAGAAAAAGAAATGACAAAGAGTGGTGAGAAGTGGGAGTAAGGTGATTTGGACTCCCAGCAAGCATAGTTTCCTGGTCTACATGTAGGTGGCTTTATGTTCCTCCCTAAGCTCCCATGGGCTCAGGTGTTGCCTTCTATCCTGAGACTAGCTACAGAGTCTCAGCCCTGTTTGGAGAGATGATGCTAGGGGAAATTGTTTATCCTGTGTCTCCTGACAGCAGTCATGAGGTAGGGACACCTGTCTCTTGGGGCATGGACAGGACCTGCCCATCTTGTCCTCGGATGGGTGGAGTCCATCACCCCTTGGGCCTCATTACATCTATCATAGGCCAGAGTTGTGGGTTTGGGAGTCTCACTTAAAAGTCTTGGACCCCAAACCCCGCCAGGCGTGGTGGCGCACGCCTGTAATCCCAGCACTTGGGAGGCTGAGGCAGCAGGATCACTGAGTTCGAGACCAGCCTGGGGTACATAGTGAGTTCCAGGTCAGTCTCAACTACATAGTGAGACCCTGTCTCAAAAAAACAAAACAAAAGCCTTGGACTCCAAATCCTGGTTGTGCAAACTTTGGTAAGTCACTTGTTCTTATTGGGTTTCTAATCCTCATCTATAAAAGGGATCTGATGCCTACCAGGCAGGGTAGTTGTGGTCTTTGGGAAAAATGTGTAACATAACCTTCCTCAGGCCCATATTCAGTTGATCTAGTTGTCAGTGTAGCGTAGCAAGGCTGGTAAGAGCAGGGACTGGAGAGACACAGTCCAAGCCTGAATTGTCTCAGGGTCACACAATTGGCAATTTACCCAGACTTTCTGTGGCTTCCCTGGCTCATCTGTTTTCTTCTCACAGGGTTATGTGAAGGTGAAATAAGATGACCTGTCAGTCACTGAGGGTGACACCTGGCACACAGCAAGACTGTATATACCCATAGTTGGTAGCCCTCACCAGAACCTTACCATCGCTATTCCCCACCCACCATTGTGTGGGTTACTGTAGTGGTGGGTGACATGCAAGGTAGGGGCTTTTCCTTGCTCCAAGTGCCTTCCTGGCCTGACCTTTTGTGAGGCTCTGGGGTCCCTCACATTCTCCCCAGGTGACTTGTATCCTCCTCAGTCACCCTGTCACTGAGTCTGACAGGGGGCCAAGGCCACCACTTGAGCATCCCAGTGACACCATCTTATAGGCTGCAGGGGTGGGTGTTTCTGACACACAGGGCCTGGAAAGGAGGGAGGAAAGAAAGGAGGATGTATGTTGCCCCTGAAGTAGTTCCCTGTTGCTGGTGTGACAAATTAACAGCAAACTTAGTGGCTTAAAACAACATAAATGTAGGGCTGGGGTGTAGCTCAGTGGTAGAGCACTTTTCTAGCATGTGCAAGGCTCCAAACACAACCGCATACATACACATTTATAGTTCTGGAGGTCGGAAGTCTCACAGGTTGGCACGCTGTGTTTCTTTGGAAGGCTCAAAGGGGAGAATTTGTCCCTTTTCCTTTTCAGCTCTTAGAGGCTGTCCTCAGTCTTTGGCTCATGCCCCCCACCCCCCATCTTCAAAGCCAGCAATGGCCAGTTGAGCAGGGTTCCCATTCTGTGGGGGACAATAAAGTGCTATAGTTAACTGATAAATAGAGTGATCTGCGTAACAGTAACAATAATAATACGGGTTTTCTGGGTGTGGTG